GAGTTGTATGAGCCCCTAAAATGATTTAAAAAAAGAAAGAAAATCAAAGCATCAGAAATTTCTAATACCTTGGTATGAATCTTAACTTCTAAAAAATGTTGTTCCATTTAAGACAGCAATTGGTATATACTTAAGTCAGATTTAGAATATATTGCAAAACCTGTGAGAGCAGGAACCTGTAAATGGCAGAAGTCTGCCAGAGAAAGAAAAGAAATATTTCCCTCTAACTGAGAAAGAGAAAAGTGGCAAGACTGCACCCTATCAAAGATGAGAAATGGCAAGATCTGGAAAAACAAAGTTCCGTTAAGTTCTCTCACCCATTGGATTGTAACATGTGTCAGTAATTAATCACACATGATGTTGTGTTCGTGCCTTCAGGTTGGCTCTGATGCGTAGTGATCCTGTGTACAACGGAAGAAAAGACCACCCGGTCCTGCGCCATCCTCACGACCGTTCCTATGTTTGAGCCCACTGTTGCAGTCATGGTGAGAGTCTTGTTGAGAGTCTCCCTCTTCTACCCTCCCCCTCTACTTTACCAAGCATGATGTCCTTTTCCAGGGACTGGTCTCTCCTGATAACATGTCCAAAGTACATGAGCTGAAGTCTAACCATTCTTGCCTCTAAGGAGCACTCTGGTTGTACTTCTAAGACAGATAGGTTTATTCTTTTGGCAGTCCTATGGTACTTTCAATATTCTTCATCAGCACCATAATTCAACACATCAATTCTTCTTTTCTTTGGTTTTGCTTATTCAATGCCCAACTTCTGCATTCATATGAGATGACTGAAAATGTCATGGCTTGGGTCAGAGGCACCTTAGTTCTCAAAGTAACATCTACCTACATGGTTGGTGGTTCAAACCCATAAGACACCCTGAGGAAAAAAGATAAGGCCGTCTCTTCCCATAAAGATTTACACTCTCCAAAAACCTACAGAGGGTCTCTGAGTTGATGGCAGTGACTTTGGTGGGTTTTTAAAGCAAGTTAGGATGTCAATCTTAAACATATGGTATTGACAACTGAGAGGCACTTTCTAGAACAGGCATTATAAAGTAGTACAAAGGGTAAGCTCTAGTGAAATGATGGTACAATATAATGCCTTCATCCTATTGTGATGGATGGCTTCCTGGTGTATAATGTGCTTTCCAAAGAATTACACAAAAGTTTAAGAGTAAGGATGAAAAATCAATTACAGTAATTTTTTTGTTCACCATTTCATATTGTTTCTCAGTTCCCATAATGATAAAGTACAGAATCTTGATATGATAGAATAGTGCTAGTGGTTCTCTGTGGAATGCTGGCCAACAATAAAAACTTTGCTTTGCAAGTCTGAAAATGTTCAGTTTTCAAATTATGTATCAATTTACATTGCTCAAGAAGTTAAATCTCAGCACAAACGCAACAGACTAACAACATGCCATACTTTTTTCCCTACATTTTTTATTTCTATTATTGTGTGCTTATAATAAAGGCTACTAATCATATTGCAAGTACCAACTGATTGTATTTTCATATAAATTTATTGCTTATATAAGCATTTATTGAAATTACTTACTTATCAAACATGGTCTCAAAGTATTTCCAAGACAAAAAAAAACTATAAACAAACTCACTGTCATTGAATCAATAGCAATGGACTCATAGTGCCCCTACAGGGCAGGGCAAATCTGCCCCTGTGGGTTTCCGAGACTGCAACTGTTTACAAGGGTAGAGAGTCTCATTTTTCTCCTGGGGAGCAGCTGGTAGTCTTGAACTACTGACCTTGTGGTTAGCCGCCCAAAGCGTAATGACTACACCACCAAGGCCCCTATATTCCCAGGACAAATATATAAAAAATTCAAGCATATGTCAATTATTAGGAATAAGGGGACCTTCAAACAGTTTGTGGAAAAATGAAATAAAAAGAATATGGAATTTTCCAAGAACTTTTGAATGCCCTCATGATACAAGCTGTTTCTTTATTTGTCTATACATCAGACAAACCAATCCTCAAATATCTGAAATAAAGTCATTTTCACTTAAAAGCCATGAATTCACAAGATTAAAATATGAAAATATTTTAATAACTTCTGCAACAGATGACAGAACCGTACAAAATTAAGAGGCAGTGAAAACTTAGATTTATATGAGGCATTGACGAAACCAGTGCATTGAGCCGATTCTTACTCACAGTGACCCTGTAGGACAGAACAGAACTGCCCCAGACCAGCCATAGCCTCTGAAACAGCCATTCCCATCCTTGGTTGGCAAGGCCCTGGCATGGGTTCCATGGCTCTCAATATTTACAGAGAGCCACAACTTTCTTCCGGGGGGGCAGCTGGTGGGCTCAAACCCTCAACCTTTTCATGAGCCACCAAGAGTTTTAACGCCCGTGCCACCACGTCTCCTTAAAGCACGACACAATATAAAAATGCCATCCACTACTTTACCTGCTGAAGTTCCTGCTCTCTTTGCTCATGTCTCATTTCCATCTGTTTAATTTTCTTTTCTAAGCCTGTGAAATGTTTCATCTCTGGCGTATGGTTTTCTTTGGCTTCTCTCAGTTCTTCTAGGAGTTTTGTAACCTAAAATTGAGGGTGTTATATAAGTGAAAAACTGAAATCAAAATGAAATGATTTTGATTGTAAGTAAAGAAGTAGAGGTAATTTGGATTTTAAACAAAGGCTTGAAAAACAAGGGCATTCATTATGTCCTTCTTTCTGAACTTTTTCTAAGAGAAGAGACAGCTTAACAGCAGGGGTATTTCTTGGGCTGTCCTATGCTCAGGAAGTAAAGGCACCTCCAGCTTTGGGTTGATCTAACATTCACGAGAAGATCTAGGTGACTGGACCACGTTTTCCTTCTATGTCTGCCCGGCCAGTATGAGGCTCAAAGAGAACTTCGGCAAAGTACATTTCTGGGGCACTTGCTTTGGTGTATTCAGTTCTGTTATGAAATATTTATTAAGTAAAGTGATTGGATTTAGGATTAAATGATACTGCATTTAAAGCTCCCAGCACAGTACAGCACATCTAACATCAATTGCTCAATAAATATGGATCCTTCTTCTATCACCAAATCTCTGTCCTTGGATTTATGTCTATCTTGTCGCCCATGTTACTTTATGCTTTATAGTAATTCCTTCCACAAATGAAAATGTGCATGCGCAGTAGAGAGATAATCGAGTGAGTACTGAACTCTATCTTACGATCGGTCTTAACGATGAGTTTTCCTGGTCGCTTTGCTGGGAGGAATGACTAGTGATTGGAAACACTTGGGCAGGTCTTGATTCTAGTTGGTGGAAAACTGAAGATCATCTTGGTCATGGCCCTTTAAACAGCCATTCCCTCCTCAGCTGGGAAGCCCCTGGCATTGCTCAGGCACTTGTGTGACCCAGGGGTAAATTTGGATCCCTCTAAGCTGGTTCAGAGGTGGGCACGTGACTTTGCGCTATTGCAAGTCATGTGCCGTCCCCTCCACTAGAAAGCGAGCTCCTTGTGAGCCAAGGTTAGATGCTTTGTTCCTCACCATGTCCCAAAAGCCAAGATTAGTGACCTGATACCCACTAGGTTGTCATTAAATTAATAAATAACACTATTTAGTAGCTTTTATTCTTTTTAATAGCTAAACAACTTGAGTCTTACAGCTTAAACACCAGTTGGTATCTGTAGAAATAAATGTAGGTCTCTTGCTGTCTGCATGAGAAACTGACCATGGGTTCAGTTAACTTTCTAGCACTGTTTCTTCTTTGACAGAGATAGACACGCCAGCTCTGATGCCAGGCAGTTGGCTTGAGGCAAAAAGACTGACAGTTGGTAGACTGCCTGTGGGCTTGGGGAACTTCGTATGAACTCAGTTACCTAGCGAGAAGCCCCAGCATTGGGCTGTACGGGTGTGGTGCCTCTTACAACTGGACACAGCTCTTGCCATGGCAGGCAGGTACATGGGGTATTTTTAAAGAACACTGCTTCTGAGGAGTTTAGGGTGTCTAAGGTAGGGCAGTTCCTCCATCTGCCTGCAGCAAGTCTGAGTTCCGTGTCCCCGTTCTGTCACCTGGGGGTCTAAATGGAATCATTCTTAGAGAGCTGTGTGGATTACTGTGAGGACCAATCACACTTAAGAGAAATGTCTGATGTGGCCTCTGTGACACACTGTATCCTGAGTTCCAAGTGTGGCCTACAAGAGTTGTGTAGCTTTCAATGCTTCTTTGAACCTCAGATCATGTAATGTCATAAATTCCATGACCATTCCACTATTTGCTCATAAAATCAGAGCAGCTAGCTGTAGAACATGTCAGAGAAGTTATGATAAATGATGTTGAGATTGTCATGAGTAGGTCACAGAGACCAATAGAGATCAATCTTGAAAGGTTTATGAAGTTGTCTCTATAAAATATTGATACAGATTTAAATGAAAATATGCCATCATTAATCAAAAAGAATTCATGATCAATAAAACATATGTTAATTACAGAATATGAAAAATTGTAAACTTTCCGATTGTCTCTAGGGCATCTGGATCAAGATTCAAGTCTTTTCTCTAAAACTAAAGGCTGCGAGAAAACAAAGAGCAGAAGATTGTTGGGGTCAAACAGGACTGGAAAATGATTAGAAATCTTTGTGAGTGAGTGCTAGAAGAAGAGAGATTGACTTTTTCATTTTAATATTAAAACACAAATGCTGAGGAGTACAAGCCGGAGTTAGTATCAAAGCTACATTTGAGCTTAATAAGGTTTTCACCCCATGGCAGTAGGTGAGATTTTAAGGCAATGGGTAGAGATATTTTAGAGGTAACAAAGGCATAGATATACAACGCAGTACAGGTACAATAAGAAAACTTTCAAATTTCCATGATTAACATATTAAGTTGGAGATGGTCATTACTTACAGCACTATAAAGTTACTTCAATAACAAACAAGCAATCGAAAACCAAAACAATTCGACACTGTTTTAAATCTACAGTGTGCTTTCACTCAAGATCATACACCAGTAAAAGACACAAGGATTTATTCTCCTATCTTAGAGCAAACAGAAAACTAGACCAAATAAATCTTCATATATTGCTAACAGCCTGAGGGGATGTAATTCCAGAGAGAAAAACAAGCAAGCTGAGCTCTCAGGTCACCTACCTTATTGCCTAGAGGCATTTCTAAGCCCCATGTAGGGTGGGGACCCTAACAGAGCTCAGCAGAATGCAAAACTGAGGATCAAGGTTAAAGGCCAAGCAGACTATAAAGGTGGTGTACCAGAGAGGATGTCTTCAGAGATTTTCAGAGGGGCCCTCTCAACTAGTGCTCAACACAAAGTGTGAGCCCACGGCCAGGGAATCTTACCTGCTGACAGTGGCCTACACAGTTCCCAGGGCTGGGAATACGTCATGTACTCACCAGCCTGAGAAAAAAAAAGCTTCACAATATATAGGACCTCAAGGAGAGTCCTCAGAGAAGTATCACCTTAAGAGTGGGGATGCATCAGCCCTATAATAAGGCTGCTCTGGAACCACCCTATTGGTGGTGTGGGTTAAGCACTGGGTTGCTAACCACAAAGGTGGCAGTTCAAATCCTCAAATCCACCAGCCGCTCCATGGGAGAAAGGTAAGGCTACGTGCTCCCTTAAAGGTGTACAGCCTGGGAAGCCTGAAGGAGCAGTTCTGCTCTGACCTACATGGTCACTATGTGTGGGAAGCAAAACTATGGCGGTGGATTGGACTTTTTTTTTTAAACTACACGAACAGAATGTAACAACAAGGCTTATAAAGAATCAAACTGATCCCAAGTAACTGAACTACCTGACAGAACAAATCAGGGGCAGCCCTAGGCTAGACAGTAAATCTGGGTAAAGGGGAAGGCAAATTTAAGAAGGGGATTGGCAAAGCAGAGGAGTGCAAGAGTTGAAGACAAAGGAATAAAAAAGACTTCGACCTGACAGCCCTGCAACAACGGTGGTCCCCAAGCACACGCAGGGAGGACAGCGGCGCAGGGTGCAAGGACGTGAGAGGGAGAGCTGGAGGGCAGCCACAGACGGCTGTACCTGGGTCTTCACCTTGGCTGACAACCTGTCCCTGAATGTGGGGGAGCCGACAGGGGGCAAAGTTCTGCAAACTTCTTCGATATAACGAAACCCTGTGAGGTTGGCGTCACCAGTCAGGGGGCTCAGGACCACAGTCTGGGTGGACGCCGAAGTCCATCTGCACAACAGCCCACAGAGGTCAGTGTTGTACGGTCTACGTTGGTAAGTACGGACGCGGGGGGTAAAACCTGTGGGCAGCCATCTAAGATGTCCTTCTTGGATGGCTCGAGTCCAGAGGAAAGAAGAGTGAGGAAACTCTAAGACAGGAAGAAACCATTAGTCCAATGGACGAACGGACCACTGGAACATTAGTTCCCCTGACTTTGGGATGAAAAGATTGAGACGGGGCGCAGCCGCCTCTACCAACTGCCCTGAAAGGGATCACGTGGGAAAGTCCTGGGTCGAGTAAGAGAAAACAATGTGGAACAAAACTTAAAAAATTTATAAAAGCGTCCAGGGTTACTGGTGGGATAGAGATAGATGGAAACCCTGAAACTCTGGCCCTTAGGCACCCTTCAGGTCCGGAACGGAATCCTACCCGCCATCAATTTCCCGCCCAGCAACAGCTCTCAGCGGAGAACTGGGACACTAGGGAGACTCACGCACCGCTGAGCATTGCGTCCTCGTCACCTGCTATCAAAGGGCAGCATTTACCGCAGGAGGAAGCTCAGCAGGGTTAGGAGAGGGGAGGAGAGGCAACAGGACACACAGGCAAGAAGTGGGAGGAAGTGAGTTACACTCAAGGGACTGCAGTGAGAGAGATAAAACACATGCGTATGAATTGCTACATGTGAGATTGATGGTCTGCGTAGTATACCTTTACCCAATTTACAATCTAAAGGTATAAAAAAAGCAGCCTAATACTATTTCAAAGAGCCAACAGAATTCACCTAACCACATAAATTTCACAAGGGCCAGCATCCAATCCAACATCACCAGGTAGGCTGAGAGGCAGTAGGAGCCTAGAAGGAAAATTAATAAACAAAAGTCTCAGAGACGGGAGACATGATGGAATTAACAGAGGAAGACGTTTAAAAAATAACTCTTATAAATATACCTTCAGATAGTCTAGGTAGACTAAAGAAACAAATCCCCAGACACTCATATTTTATAAGACAGAGTTTTATTAAAGGGCAAATGTACATTAAGAAAGCATCCCAACCACAATGACGCCGACTGCAGGAGGAAAGCCGAATCAGTGAGTGCGTCAGCATCTCACTGCTGGCAGGGTCTCCACACGGCTGCTCTAGCGCCCAGGGCTGCATCGGGGTAGGTCCATGCGGCTTCTCCTTAGGCATGTCTCGCAGGAAATGAGTCTTGCCAGCTGAGGCAGAGAACTAGCTAAGGCAGCCGCAACTGGTCCAGCCCAAGAGACTAAACAGGCGAGGCTTGCAGAGCCATTTATCTCTCCGCCCTTCCATTAAACTGCCCTTCAATGAATCCACATGTTCATTGGTCAGGTTGGCACAATAAACCTTAACTATCACATAACTCATATTCTCAGGAAGGTAGAAATGAACATGAACACGGTGAAGAGAGAAATGAAAGGAAGGCACAAAGGGATTTAATTTGAAATTAAGATGAATATACAATAACTGAAATGAAAAATACATCGGATGGGATTAGCAGCAATTAGACATTGCCCATGAGTGGATCAATGAACTAGAAGATGAGGTCTAAGATAATAAAATTGCTAAAAACTGATGAAGAGGAAAATCTGATTAGGATCAGCCAGAGGAAACATATGGAGAAAGAGAAGAGAATTAGAACAGACTCTTTGTCAGAAGCTCTGAAAGCCAGAGGGTAATAAAGTGACCTCTTTAAAGTACTGACAAAAACGGAGCCAACTCAAAACCAAAACACATAAGCTGTCAACCTCCAGTTTGTATCTTGTGGAAAGTCTTTCAAAATGGTAACTAAGCGCCGCGGCAATTTGTTTCCAGCAGACTCATAGCACAAGATACTGTACAGGGCGGAGACAGAGACTTATACCAGGCAGAAATTTACATCACGCAAAGCAACAACGGGCCAGAAGTGGCAGACATGTGGGTTTTCAGAAAATACTCTTCCAAGTCCTTTAGCCATTAAAACCCAAATAATGATGTCTTGTGCAGTTTCTAACGCATGTAGGAATAAAATGTATGATAACAATAGCACACAGCATAGAAATGTACAGTCGCAGATCGACGCATTCTGTGTGACGCCCACCAATGCACTGCCATCGAGTCGATTCAAAGTCGCAGCCACCCTCCAGGACAAGGCACGACTACCCACCCTGTGGGATTCTGAGGCTGGGACTTTTTATGAAAGGAGAAAGGCTGTCTTTCTCCCATTATATGCTAAGAGGTATATTATTATTTGAAGTACAGATCACCAACTCTAAGGCTAAACTGGAACAGGAAAATGGAAAATAAAAAGGCATAGCTAATAGGCCAATGAAAGCAAACAAACAAAACAAAAACAAAACTCACAGCCACTGAGTCAATTCTGACTCCTAGTGCCCTTCTTTTATTATCCTAAGGTCCTTTTATTACATATATATCACATATGTATCTTATATGTGTAATATACCAACAGGGGAGAGAAATTACAATTAAACCAAAATAATCCATAAAATTAAATGTGAACACTTTAAATATATTTTAGTTTTTCAGTTTCTAAGCTTAAAACATCACGTGACCAAGAATCAAAAGGCCCTTAGGTTAATAAAAATGATGAGTTTCCAGAAAGACCTGCTTCCTGTGATGTATTATTATTGATGATACAGGACTGATGAGCCAGCCGTGGTTGCTTTACCTATTTCTTCACCAAACTAAACAATATTAGTACTTAATGCAGAAATGACCTGGCGTCCAATGTACCTTCTAAAGAAGTCAAACAAGAACCAGTTGCCCCTGTCATCTTTGTGTGGAGGAAGACATACAAACATAAAAATCCTAAATAAACACTGGATAGCAAAGACAAACAGATCATTTCTAATTCAGATGTGAGCTTCATCTTGGGAAGGTAGATTTTCCTGAAAAATGTTGAGAATATACTCTCGACAAGGCTTCAGTTCTCTTACCTCATTCTGTAGGACTTCTTCCCGAACTTGAGAAACTACAAGAGATTCTTGCTTACCCTGTAGTTCACTAACTTGATTTTGGAAATGTTTTATAAGAACCTGAAAATTAGAAATTGAAAAAAAACTTACTTGAAAGGCATAATAAAGTGAATGTACTGCTTTTATTTTCACTAGTGAAATCAACAAAACAAAAAACCTGCCATTTAAAAATCATCCAAATTCTAATGCAGAAATAACTGCCATAGGGATCAAGTACATTTTAAGTTTCTTCTAATATTTAAAAATAAAACACCACTCATAAATTAATTGCTGAAGCAATGTGGCTTCTCTAGCTATAGTACTGTTCTTCTGAAGGCCTGGAAAATACCTTTTAAAACAAACTGCTACAGAGTCCAGGCCACCACTCATCTGTCAGTTTGCCGTCCTGTGGGGGGTTTGCATGTCGATTTGCTAATGAAGACAGGGCCACTGGGATAGTTTTCAGATGAGAGACCCAGACAAGGTAGACCAGGCAAAAAGAGATTTCTACAAAAATTAGCCAGTAAAAATGTTATGACTAGAGGACTGTGCCAGGGCTGGTCCTCTTGGGCTGGAAGGCGCTAAAGAAATATGCCTGGAGAAGAGGCACCTCCCCAAAGCAGTCGACCTAATGCTGAGGCTGGAGTAAATGCAGAATCACATTCAGGACCCTGGGAAAAGGGAACACAGTACGTATGGCACGATCACATTACTTTTCTCATCTCAGTATGCTCTCAGTATGCTTGTTACTGCCCCCTAACTGCCCACTGAGGGCCCACTAAGGTGGGGTGAGGAAAGCAAGTGGAGTTATCGATAAGGTCCTACTAATGGTTATTGTGAAGAGCAACTCCTTTTTTAATTGAAGTTTCAAACGATAGTCAAAGTTCCTTTTTACGTTCTTTTTGGCTGTTTCTTTTTCACTGATGTTTAATTCTTGGATGAATAGTAAATAAATAGATACCCTAAATTCAAGAATTGTTAACATTTCTTTCTTTCTGTTTATAAACATATGTGTATGTTTGATTTTTTTCCCCCTGAGCTATTTGAAATTAAGTTAGAGACTTGATGCCATTTTATTCTTAAATAGTTCCACATCCATCTCCTTGTAATAAGGGTACTTTTTAACAGTATTATTTATATTCCTAAGAAAATAATTTTCAATGATCTACTAGACCAAAATCACACCAAGCCTGTTGCCATCGAATGGATTCTGTCTCATAGTGATCCTCTTTAAACTTCAAATGAGGGATCTATTTTTAATTAGGATGCTACTACATAATTACAGGTGGGAGAGGTGGTGGTGATGTCTAAATTTTCTTGACATCTCCTCCTCTTCCTACCTAGCTTTTTAAAAAGTAAAACGGACAGAAGCTAAGGGGAATTACAAGGAACCATTCCTCTATCTTCAACTTGATTCACCAGCTGCTAGCATTCCGCCAGCATTTCCCACTTGTTCTTTCCTTTTGTCCGCGTTCTCCTTCTGGCTACACCATTTCACAGCTAGCCCACAGACAAACGCTCTGTCCACCTACTAACCTTACAGGAGATGGACTACACAGCGGATACTTAGAGATATTCCAAGTAGCTATGCATAGTTACCGAGAAAGAAGGTGCATTCATTCCAAGAAATGCGGGTGAATTGTCTGCATTCTTGGGAATGATCATGTGGCGACTCAATGGCTTCAGAGAGGCTCTACCTCACTGCCACGGAGTCAATTCTGAGTGCTGCGTGTGCCTTTCTCTTCTGAATGAAAAGTAATGGAACAGCAAGAATGAGGGTAATTAACGCTGATTGGGCTTGGGAACGGTGAGAGAAGGGCCAACATTCAAGTTCAACTACTAACAGTCCCATCTTTCTTGGTGTTTGCTATAAGCTACTTAAAGGTATATCTGAGAAATGTAGAGGCAAAACTGTTTGAGCTCTTATTCAAAACGGTGTGATTTTAAAGCTGAAACATTCAACGATATGGTATTCTCTCCTATGAAGCCACATTAACCCCCATTTCCACCAGCAACCTGAACAAATGAAAGTCAATTGTGTCTAAATTAAATCATATTCTGTAAGGAAAATTGTACTTTTCAATTTTAAAGTTCAGAATGTTAGCAGTTGATGAATTCAGTTGGAAATATAGGAATGCTCATTGTAATTCCTCTTATCTTCTGTCGGTTTTACTTCTTAAAAAGCTAGGCAGGAAGAGGAGGAGATGTCAAGAAAATTTAGACATCACCACAACCTCTCTCACCTATAGTTATTTAGTAGCGTCTTTGTAAAATTGTAATTGTATTGTAATTGTAAAAGTCAAAGAAAAATCCAGGCAAATTTGGTCATTTACCTCTTGAGTAGTGATTTTACGGTTTAGTTCAGCTACTTTGGAAGAAGAATTTTCTAACGCATTTTGGCAGAGCAGTTTCTCTACTTCTCTCTGATGAGATGCTTTGATGGATGCGATGTGCGCCGTGGTATCTTCCTTGATCCTATGGAACAAGTTAAAAACCCACATCCAATGCAGAGTTCAAAAGCTCACTGTCATCAAGTTGATTCTGGGAGCATGGCACCGGCTCCACCACAAATAAAACCAAACTCCAGTCAATGCTGACTCATAGCGAGCCTCCCCGCCTCCCCCCATGGATTTCTGAGACAGTAAACGTTTATGGGAATTGAAAGCCCAGTCTTTCTCCCAAGGAGTGGCTGGTGGTTTCAAACTTCCAACCACGCAGCTCAACGTGTAACCACTACACACCACCAGGGCTCCCTGACAGCACAAGCTGTCTAGAAATTAAAAAGGAATTGGAGTGAAGGCCAGTGTTTACTGAACTGTGCTTGGTACTTTCCACATGACTGCATGTGAGTTCTCACAACTGGTACTGAATCTTACTGGGGTCAGCTCAAGTTTGGGAAAAAGACATGCATTTAGGACCCCAAATCAGTAAGTTGTAGAGCTGAGGTTCAGGCCCAGCAGAGTTGGACCTTAAACCCGAGGCCTTCCATTGTACCCCTTTCCTGGAGCAGACAGTCAGCAAAACACTGTTGATATATAGTAATAAGGCAACTCTTAAAACTTTAGACAGATTTTTTTCAGAAAGTATGAATATTTGCTTCATGGAAACAGTTTTGTTAGGCTCTCAGGAAAGGTTGCAAAGGCCCCAAATACTCATGATATAACTAAATGACAGTTTCCGTTTTTAACTAAATGATAGTTAAAAAGCAGCCTAAATCTAGATGAGGAAAATTTAACCTTTATTTCTCAGGCCCAGAGCTATATGTTGAACAGATAAACAACTCTAGAAAATTTTTTTATTATGTATAGTACAATTTATAGAAAACCAAGAGTTTTAAACTATTTATAGGAAAGGATAGGATTCTCTATACATAGCCTCACCACTAGTTGGAAGCAATCTATTTGCCAGGAAGGCTTACTCCCTTCCTGGTTCACGGGTTGTGCGTCCCATGCTCGTGCTGCCCCAACACCAGGTTGTTGTGGAGCTCCAAAAGACCCGAGTTTTCAAGGAATTTAGGTGGCATATGATTCGTGCTTACTTGGGACATATTGAATAAATTGTATAGGAGATGGAGATGGGAGCGGGCCATTTCTTGGAGAGGTCCAGGAAATAATTCATGGAGTTGAGATAAGAATGAGCAGAAGGTAGTGAAGACAGGAAGCAGCTTAAGCACACAGTGTAGTATCTGAATAACGGTGGGATCTGAAATGCCAGGAGAGAACTTCAGTCCCAAGACTGTCAGGGATCTGGGAGTGGGCAGAGGGCGGTGACACAGATACAGTGTATTTAAAGATTATTCCAGGCTTTAAGGAAAGATGACCGAGAAAGGTAGGAAAGAATGTCAGAGAGATCAGGTAAGTGTGTACTAACCCATGCAGGCAGCGCTGGCTTACTACCGTCAGGATGAAAGCACCAGTAGCAGCACATGTTGCCTTTGAACCCAAGAAACACAGTGAAGCTGGTCCTGAGAAAAACAAGGTCACGGACAGAATGAGGACACTGGGATATGGAGGTAGTTTAAGGGTAGAAATGAAATGAAATGAAATGTGAGGTTTCGAGGTACTTTGATTCCAGGATGTACAACCCAGTAACATCTGAGTTCAGTAGAGACAGGAAGCCTTGAAGGTAAAATTTCAATTCACGGTTCAAAGGAGCCTTTCGAAGAACGGATATATTTTCCAATGGAGAAAGAGCAACGTAAAAATGGAAAGGCGAGACTATTAGCTCAAAAGAAAGCCAGATTTTTAGGGCAGGAGGTTATAGCAGAGTCAATCCAAGAAACAGAAAAGATGGTTTGGTTAAACCTGTCAAGACGTGGGGGGAAAGGAGGAAATTGTTTCAGGAAGGGCAAGAGAGCCAACACTGTCAAAGAAACGGAGGGGTGAAGACCCCACTGGACTGAGCCAGGCCGGTACCGAGAGGGAGGTTTCCAAGAGCGGTGAGTAAGAAGGCATATTCAGGCGGAAATCCAAGAAGAAAATGTCACCGAAAGATAGCAGAGGACTGGCAGCTGGTTTGACCAGGTGAAAGGAAGGCCTCCGGGAAAGAGACAGTGGATGGTGACGGAGATTCTGAAGCACTGTGACCACAAGGTCACTTGGCTGTTATTCTGGAAAAGAGTAGGGCCTTTTTTTTTTCTTGTAAAACTGCCACCTAGCTTTACTAATAGCTGTCATCCGACAGCAATCTGTGTAGGCACCTGAGGCTCCAGTTGCTAATCGCAAGGTCAGCAGTTCAAAATCACCAGCCACTCTCAAGGAGAAAGAAGGTTTTCTACTCCCATAAAGTTGCAGCTTTGGAAACCCACAGTGGCAGTTCTACGCTGCCCTACAGGGTCACTATGAGTCGGACTCAACTGGTAGTAGTGAGTTTTATAGCAATAGTAGATGATGTGGTCTTCCTTCTCACCAGGGGGTGAGTTTATGAACACTACTTGGGGACTTCCGGATAGACAGGCTGACTGGCCAGGCCAAGGACATAAATTGGATTGAAGTAAAGAGTCAAGCTCCTCGGAGTTGGAGGCATCAGCAGGTAGAAGCCCTGCTTTCACCCCGACAGAGCTCCGTGCCTGCCAGTGTCATGCCTGTCTCAAAATCCAGTTATGGATACAGGTTAGGGAGAACACCTACTACTTTTTCAATGTCTTTTTATGCTCCCATAGTTTAATAAATAATCGACTACTTTACCGTTTCATGGCCTTTTCATACTGATTCGATGCAGCTTCAGATTTCACCGTTAGTTCATTCTTCTCCGAAATTACTCTCTGTAGCTCATTTTTCAGCTTGAAGTTTTCTTCCAGGACCTCCGACATAGAGGAATCCGTAAAAGTGTGTGGTTGGTATAGCTTGTTGCCCAGGTTTCCAGAGGAGTGAGTGCTTCCTTTACCTGTGGGCAAAGCATCTTTCTTCACCTTCTTGGGAGGTATTTCCTCCCTGCCTTTAGAGCTTTGCTTAGATAGCATCATTCTTCGCTCCTGCTGAAGCCTCTCCACGGTCTTAGACAGGTCCTGTATTTCTCTCGCCTTTGAGACCAGTTCCTCATTGAGCCGGACTAGCTTAGCGTTAGCCTGGGCCTGTTCCACCTGGAATTCTATCGACTGGAAATCTTTATCATCCTTATCGCTCTTCTTGAGTTCCAGTTCAGCATTCTGCTGTCTGAGACTGTCTATTTCAGCTTCGAGGTTTCTCACGGTGATGTGATGGGCTTCCTGGATGTCATCAAGCTCCCTCTCTAGTGCTTTCACCCTCGAGGCGCTGCCGTGTTGGTCCTGGGGCGTCTCCTTCGATTTGGAGGCGAGCAGCTGCTCCTGCTCCTCTAGTCTCTGTTCATACTGAATCTGGGGGAAAGAACCCACACACGGTCAAAGCACTGCTAAACCTTTCACTAGTTACTGAGGCTCTGCCTTTGAGAGCATCCTCACCTGTTCCTTCAGGTACTCGGAACACACTCTCACACTCTGATCCTCCAAGTCCCTGTGGTCCTGGGGTCAGTCAAATGCACTGGCCCCACTCTTTACATGTTGTCATTATATACTGTGAAGGTGTTATACAATTTCATAATTGATACGCTGCTTCACGAGTACAAAATTACATTCTCATACCCCATCAACATCATTTTTAGAGCTCACAATAAAGCATCACCTTATCTTTTCTACACAAACCAGCAACTATGACTCGCCGGGGAGAGAGGTGATTGAGAAATAATTCTCATTTCCTAACAGTAATTGGACTAAACTCCTCTTTAGTAATTTCACAGTAATTGATTTAGCAATGCTAAGTCAGCTTGGTATTTACATACTTTTGTTTCCATATTATAAAAAAATAATAATTCAAATCGTTTACTCTGTGGAAGAAGGCACTGATAGTGTTTGTTCATTTATTCAATGAATTTTTATTGAATTACCACCACCCGTCAGGCACTGGGCCAAGTTCTAGAGATGAAGACTAAGTTTTTATCTTCAAATAGCTCACAGCCTGGTTAGGAGACTGTAATGTGCTATCGCCAAGACGAGGGGCCCATGATTGTGGAGAGTGGGTGGAGGGAAGACGGGGTCCCCTGAGTGCTGAGGGCCTGAGAGAAGATGAAAAGGCTGTGTAAGGACTTGAAGGATGAGCATCCATTTGGAAGTAAGTGGAGGCAGGGAGGTTTTAGAAAGAGGAATAACACCTGTGGAGAGGTTCCACTGCTGAGTGTGTGTGGAAATCACGTGAGAGGTGAAAGCGGTAGGCTACTGGCTGTGGGCTGGCTACTGAGGGTCAGGATGGAGCAGAGGGGTTAGGAACTGTAAGAGGACAGGTGGCTATAGCTTAAGTATGTAAAAATGGGCAGGGGCTGGAGCTTGTTTCATGCCCGGGAGCCTCTAATTGGTCAGTGAAATATTAATAAAAATAATGATTATAATACATAGTCCCTTTAATGACTGGTACACTTCAGGCATGGTACAATCATCGTGCAAACAAGTGTTACTACATCTTTTCAAAATCCTGAGTTAGGGATTAAAAAAGCAGACCATTTATTGAGCATCTACTGTGTGCCGGACAAGACAATGCATTGTGGGTAAGAGCAGAAGAGTCCTTGCCATCACCAAGTCTGCTGGTGGGTGGAGAAAGACCACTAATGACCCAATCAAAAGATCTGTAAACATGGTGGCCGCTTTGAAGGGGACATGACGTCAAGGGTGCCTAGAGAGGCAATTCATCTACGAGGTAGTCCTAGAAGGCTTCACCCATGAAGCAATGGTTATGTTAAGATTTGAAGGGTAGCAACACCTTAAGTATGTGAAAGAGGAGGGAAGAGTGTACCTATCAGTACAAGAGGGGGTGCAAATGTAGAAAAGAGAGCATGCAGGAGAAACAGGCCACTGACTGGAGAGACATGCATGATGAGAGAAAATGGTGAAGGGAGACGGTCCTGGCCATCCATGGATTCAGGTTTTATGTTTATTGCAAGAATCGTAGGAAGCTGCCGAAAGGGTGTAAATAAAGGAAGGTGTGTGGGAGAGAGAGACTGTAAAAGATAAGATTGGCTGCAGAGTCCAGGGCTGACTGGAGGATGGGGTAAACTAGGGAATAATCCAGCTGTGCAGACCAGATTAGAGCCGCCATGCAGGCCAGGTGTTGAATGATGGTAGTAGAGAGATAGTAGTAGAGAGATGGAAAGAAAGAGGAATTGACATACATTTAGGAAACAAAGTGGCATATCAGTACCGAGTCAACTAAAATGATCTTTTACACAGGGAGAAATTGAAGCTAGAGGTTAAGTAATGAACCCAAAGCCAGGAAGCTATAATGTTGGATTACAGGTTGGTTGGACTCTAAAGTTTACGTGCTTTCCTTTAAGCTGTTCTCTTACATATAGGGCACAGGCTCTGTTAAAATAAAGCATGGGGGATAGGGGTGGGGGAGCAAGAGGAACTTAAAGATTGAGTGTGAATGTTTATAAAGTGGAAGGAGGAGCTGATCAATCACGTGCAAGAAGCACAGAGAATTCAGAGACTGGCAATTCAATTCTATTTATATGCATGTGTGTGGATATATGTGTATTGTGTATACAGATGCATGTATGTATGTATGTGTGAGAGTCAAGGAGCCCTGGTGGCACTGTCAGGTAAGCAGTAGTCTGTCAACCACCAGGTTGATGGTTCACAGCACCAGCTGCTCTGCAAGAGAGGGATGCGTACCTGCTCCTGCAAAGATCTATAGCCTCGGAAATCCTCGAGGGTCCCTGGGAGTAGGAACCAGCCGATGGCAGTGGGGATGTGTAGGACTGTTGACTGGGATGAGTGAAAGTTTACAGAGCAAACTGGCTTTCCATTCAACAATTCCTGTCCATGCGGATGCACACAAACGTGCTATCTTCTTCAGAGAAGACAAAGTCGCTGCCGTAGAGGAGCAGAGCAGCAGCTGGGTGAGCAGAGGTCCAGAGTGAGAACATGTACGGTGGTGAGAACTGGCTGGCTAAGGAAGTGATTTCGAGTTTAGAATAGTGAGAGAGAGTAAGCTTGCTTACTTTTTTTTTTGAGAGAGGAGAAGTAAGGGTTGTTTTACTCTGCCATTTCTTGACTTAACTATTTCCACCATCAGGGAGCATGCCTTCTATAAATATTAGCCTGTGCTTGATGATTCTGCCTGAAATAACAAGTTGCTAAAGGAGCTCAGCAGCTCCGCGGGAGAAAGAGGCGGCTTTTCACTGCCCCAGATTTGCAGTTTTGGAAACCCACCGGGGCAGTTCTGGTCTGTCTCATAGGATTGCTATATGTCAGAATCGTCAGGATGGCAGGGATTAAAAACAATTTTTTTACGGAGAGCACAAAGCTCGGATGGACTCAGATGTCTTTCACCCACCTGTGGGAAAATGTTTGTGGGGAAGGGTGTTGAGGGCTCAGGACTCTCCCTTCACACCAATTTGCATATGTGACTCCTAGCTGAGCCCCATCTCCGTTTACCTTCATCTTCTGAAACTGCTGTTCCAGGGCACGCAGGCTTTTCTTGGCTTCTTCATCTTTGCCTTCAAGATCAGCTTCTAACTTTTTAATCCTTTTTTCCATAAATGCCACTGTATTTCTATTCACTGTATCGCCAGCTGCTGACGCAGCCATTATTAAAGCAGGTAAAGAATTGGGGTATCTTCTCTTCAGAATTCCTTCCATTTCTTTAACCTATTAAAAATAGTTGGATATATGTGAAAAATCAATAATGTAAAAACTAAATGGCTAATTTTATAAATCATGCATTAATCACATCACAGATGTTACTTTGAGGACTAAGGTGTGCCTGATCCAAGCCATGGTATTCTCCATTGCATCACAGGAATGCGAGAGTTGGACACTGGATAAGGAAGATGGAGAAACATTGATGCACGTGAACTGCGGTGCTGGAGAAGAATACTGAGAGCACCATGGACTGCTAAAAGGGCAATCCAATCTGCATTGTAAGAAGTCAGGCCAGAGGGCTCCTTAGAGGCGAGGATGGCAGGACTTCGTCGTCTTACTCACTTTGGACATATTGTCAGGAGAGACCAGTCCCTGGAGAAGGACATCATGGTTGGTAAAGCAGAGGGGTGGCGAGGAAGAGGAAGGCCCTCGACAAGCTGTATGGACACAGCGGCTGCACCCTTGGGCCCAGGCACAGGAACAACTGTGAGGATGGCGCAGGGCCTCGCAGCGTTTTGTTGTTGTGCATGGGTCGCTATGGGGCAGACCTGACTCGATAGCAGCTAACAGCAGCAGCAATTAATCGCATCTAGATTCTGAAGACATGTTCATACACATTTCCTGACTGAATGCAAGATAAAGACAGTACTACGGAGTCAGGTCTAACTCACAGCGACCTTATGTACTGCAGAATGAAGCACCGTGCTGTCCGGCGGCGTCCTCACAACCGATGCTGTGTTCCAGCCCATGGATGCAGCCACTGTGTGAATCCATCTCATGGAAGGTTTTCCTCTTTTTCACTAACCCTCCACTTTACCAAAGGCCCCCTGCTGGCCCAGTGCTCATGCACTGGGCTGCTAACCACAAGAGTAACAATTTGAAATCACAACCAGGCAACGGAAATATGGGGCTTTCTACTCCTGTAAAGAGTCAGTCTTGGACACTCACAGGGGCAGTTCTACCCTGACCGATAGTAGTCCTCATCAACTCGATGGCAGTGAGGATTTAAAATTTTTTTATTTTGGTTTACTACTTTACCAAGCATGAAGTTCATATCCAAAGAAAGTGAGATAAAGTCTCATTTATATTATGGACTTAAGAGTGCCCTATAGCTCTGTCTGATTTACATAAATCCTCTGCATTCACTTGAAATTGATCCAGGAACCAGTCTTCTGTTTTACACAGCCCCTTCATATGATAATGCTTGTACTAATGAGGGAAAAATTACCTACATGCACATCAATTTGAAAACATTTTTGCAATATAGACTACTTTTTAAGCACTAGCACCTGCCTGTAACAACTCCCACTGCCACTTTCCAAAGGGAGTTTAATCTGCTTTAAAATTACTTCTTTCTATTGGAAAGCATGGAGGAATAGATGGCATTTCATGAAGTCTTCATAAAAGACTAAATAATCGTTTTTGGTTAGTCTATAAAACAATAGCATGTTATATGGTCTGTATGTAAGATAAAAGAACTACCTCCGTAGTCCACAGGAATTGGAGTTTGTACTTTACATGCACACACACATACACACACACACACTGTTGTTGGTAGGTGTCACTGCATTGGTTGAGACTTATAGCAACCCTACGTACAACTGTTCCATCTTCACAACTGTTCTTATGTTTGCATGCATTGTTGCAGCCACTGTGTGAGATTTAATTTATATGAAACATCTAGAATAAACAAATCCACAAGGACTGGTAACATGAGAAGCATCCAGGGATGATAAGGGATTGACTGCTAAGGGGTACAGGGTTTCTTTTGGGGTTTATGAACATGCTCTGGCGTTAGGTGGTGGGAATAACTGTAGTTCTGCAAATAAATTAAGAACCATGGAATCTTACATTTTATAACAGTGAATTTCAGAACATTTTCTTTTTTTTAACTCCATGATTAAATCACCTTGAAAATTAGTTGTGAATTCACCTTTAGTTCTAGTTAAAAGTGAATTTTATGCCATGAGAAGTAGATCCCTATTTTAAAAGTATAAGCAAAAAATGGAGGCAAATAAAGATATTTGTAGAAAAAGAAAAATAAACAAACAAAAATTGTACAATCATAAAATTTTTACCAGGTAAGCAACTGAAAGAACAAGTCATATTTTAAGCTATCTGCATTTTTTTGGAGGGGGTGAGCTGGGAAGGGAGAGCTCTTTGATATCAATTTTAAGGAAATGTCAAGTTCTTGTTCTTCTATAGGTATTGCACTCTTCATACACAGTGAATAATAAAAATATTATGAAAACATAATGCTGATAAGCCTTTTGAGATTAAAAAAACAAAAACCATCAAAATTAAAATAGATTATAAATCTACTGTGAGTGTTAAATGCTAAAATAGATGTTATCTGTAGGGATGATTAAGTCAAGGGCACAACCCTTACTTACAGTAAATCATTACTTATTATAAAACATCTTAAGTGAATCTACTCTAACTCCTGAGATTGGCCATTAGGAATGAACTTGTATCTTTTAATATGAAGAGGTAATCTAAACTCTCTCTACGCCATTCCAGTCTCCTGCTTCTATTGTTTCTTGTACTTTCCAGCAATCCCTGACAACTTAGTTAGTAAGCAAAACATGAATGAATGTTATTGACTTCTCACTGTTCTATACTGACTTTTGATAAAAATGGTACAGTTGTGATATCTTTTGAGACAATTTTTAATTTTAAGACCCAAATCCTTCTTAAATAGTTTCTGAGAACACGATGAGAAGAAATAGCACTGAGAGGGGCCCTCAGCACTACTAAGGAACACATTTGGAGTGTGAATCTACCATCTGCTTTATGACCTTTGGTCAACTCCTCAAACTCTCTCTACGCCTCTTGCTTCACCAGCAAAATGAAGAGGATACTACTAATCCCATAGGGTTGCTACAATGACATGAAGATCAGATTACATTCATATTGTAAAGCGCTTAGCGTAATGCCCAGCAACTTGATGACTGAAGGCTCGATAAATGTTGGCTGTTCTTATGATTTAGTCTCAAAAACTATCTTTCCCAAGGCAAGATGGGTTGCTGGAACTCAAGATCTTGTTTAAGGCTTAAAACTGTTCACGAATTATATGCGATATTTAAGGGTCATGTCATTTGTACGATTAACAGTAAATACAAGCAGTCCCCAAGTTACAAACAAGATTCCTTCTGAAGTATGTCTAAGTTTAATAAAGTCTTTAAGTTGAATGTGTAAATAAGTTGGGGCAGGTGCATATGGTTTTTAGTTAGCCCTTCTGAGACTATAAATCTTCATGTCATCTTTCACCTGCTGAGCTCCTGGTGGGCTTGAACCACCAACCTTGACTTCAGCAACCCAACCAGGGCTCCTTAAAAACAAAACAGAAATCCATTGCCATTGAGTCTATTTGGATCCATAACCTCCCTCTATAAGGTTTCTGAGACTAAATCTTTACGGGAGCATACAGCTCATCTTTCTCTCATGGAGTGGATGGTGGGTTTAAACTACTGACTGCAGTTAGCAGTGCCAACAGCACAGAGCTCCTGGTTTTGTGTTTATTTATTTATTTATTTTTACTCTAAAGCGGCAGAAAAGGCTTAGAGCAGCGGTTCTCAACCTGTGGGTCATGACCCCTTTGAGGGTCGAACAATAGCAAAATTAGAATTATGAAGTAGCAATGAAAATACTTTTATGGCTGGGGGGCACCACACATGAGGAACTATATTAAAGGGTCACAGCATTAGGAAGGTTGAAAACCACTGGCTTAGCGCCTTTTCAATGGTTTAAAGGCTGTACATGACAGAAGTGAGGACAACTGTGAGGAAGAATGTGTGGAAGTAGGGCTTGGTTAAAGAAGCTCTGGTGATACAATGGGCAGCAACGCACAGCAAAGGCAGTGGTTCAAACTTACCAGCTGCTTTTGTATAAACATTTACAGTTTCATTAACCACGAGGAGCAGTTCACTTCTATTCTACAGCAACAGAACTGACTCAGTGGCAAGGGGCAGAGAGAATGATGGTCGAATCATTTCAAAGTGCAGGCACAATGTTTATAACCCAGGGAGGGCCTGTATTTCCATTCAGAAAGACTGTCTGCATATTATAAGATTGTCTGCATATTCATAGTTATGCCATAAATCGGAATATATCCATACACTATTTATTTTATCTATAAGTATATGAAAACTTGCTCTGGTATTACAATTCTATTTATGAGTTAGCTTGTAGCACATTAAGTATTGCACATTAAGTATTCACATACACAAACACAAATATTAAAGAGAACTAGATTTTAAAAATAATACATTAAAAATTTTTTATACTTACTATATTCATTTGAAAATGAAAATTTTCATTTATATTTAAGGAGATACTTAATTATAAAATTATCCTACTACTTTAGAAAATGGCTCAATATGACTATAAAACCATTGAACAATAACTTGATTATAAAATATTCTTTAAAGTGTAACATTAATTAGACTAGAAATACAGAAACAGTATTAATAAAATCTGGAACATACATGTATGTATCAGAACATGAGAACAATTATTTAAAATACTATTAATGATGAATCATACTTTAGGCATATGAAATCTGATAAGCCAATAAATGTTTAAATATTTACTGAGAATGTTAATCAACGAGGGAGGTGATTTTTATAAATGTTATATCTCTGGTCAGAATGAATCAGTTTTGAGCTTTATTATTAAATATGCTTTACATTTTTACCCTCTCATATTCAGGTTTTCATGATTTCGCTTACATAATCAATAAGGTCTAATGGGGGCGGCTGTCCCTTTGGCCTTTTACTGCCTCCCAAGTCTGGATGGTTTTGACTGATCTAATCGTTGAGTAATCTAAGTCTAAAGCACTGAAGAAAAGTCAATCAACTGTAGACCACCCTAACTTCAAAGTATCTCTAACTCTCTCAAGCGCCTTTGGCCTGTTCTTTCCTGGTCACTGAATGCAATTCCCAAATCATACCTTTTAAAGGAAGAACAGGTATTGTCAAAGGAACAAATTTCTTTTGCTTAGTTTTCCTTCTTCCCATAAAACTAGGGTAAGAGCTCAGCGGTGACCTCACAGATTGATGTTTGTGATGGCATAATAGGAGCATTTCCAGGTGCCATAACTTGACTATAGAATCATGCTCCCTTGAGAACAGATATGAAAATCCTTTTTTTTCCTTCCTTTCATTCTTTAGTTATGGATACAAATGCTACCTTACAGAAAAGTTTAAATAGGAGAAAACATTCATTATAATTCTATTCCCCCTAAAATTGTTTTTAAAATATCTTTATCCTTACAGGTTTTACTTTTTTTTTTTTTAGAAAAGGTCTTCCCAGCCTCACTGGCTATGAAATGAATCATTTTATTGGGGGCTCATTCAACTTAAAAAATTTTTTTTATTGGGGGCTCATACAACTCATCACAATCCATCCATCCATCGTGTCAAGCACATTTGTACATTTGCTGCCATCATCATTCTCAAAACATTTTCTTTCTACTTAAGCCCTTGGTATCAGCTCATTTTTTCTCCTCCCTCCCCACGACCCTCCCTCATGAACTCTTGATAATTTATAAATTATTATTATTTTGTCATGTCTTACACTGTCCAACATCTCCCTTCACCCACTTTTCTGTTGTCCATCCCCCAGGGAGGGGGTTATATGTAGATCCTTGTAATTGGTTCCCCCTTTCTACCCAACTTTCCCTCTACCCTCCTGGTATCGCCACTCTCACCACTGGCCCTGAAAGGTTCATCTGTCCTGGATTCCCAGTTCCTATCTGTACCAGTGCACATCCTCTGGTCTAGCCAGATTTGTAAGGTAGAATTGGGATCATGATAGTGGGGGGAGGAAGCATTTAAGCACTAGAGGAAAGTTGCATGTTTCATCATTGCTACACTGCACCCTGACAGGCTGTCTCCTCCCTGAGACCCTTCTGTAAGGGGATGTCCAGTTGCCTACAGAGGGCTTGGGTCTCCACTCCACATGCCCCCTCATTCACAATGATATGATTTTTTGTTTTTTGATGCCTGATACCTGATCCCATTGACACCTCATGATCACACAGGCTGGTGTGCTTCTTCCATGTGGGCTTTGTTGCTTCTAGCTAGATGGCTGCTTGTTTATCTTCAAGCCTTTAATACCCCAGACACTATATCTTTTGATAGTTGGGCACCATCAGCTTTCTTCACCACATTTGCTTATGCACCGCTTTGTCTTCTGCGATCGTGTCGGGAAGGTGAGCATCATGGAATGCCAGTTTAGTAGAATAAAATATTCTTGCATTGAGGGGGTACTTGAGTGGAGGCCCAATGTCCATCTGCTTCCTTAATACTAAACCTATAAATATATGCACATAGATCTATTTTCCCATCATCATATATAAATATATTTACATATGTACATGCCTGTACTTAGACCTCTAAAAATGTCCTTTGCCTCCTAGTTTTTCTCTTTATTTCCTTTTACTTTCCTCTTGTCCCACTATCATGCCCAGCCTTCACTTGGGTTTCAGTAATTCCTCTCGGTTATATTGCTCTAAGCTTGAACAAAGAGCAAAAATTCAAGGTTACGGCTAGCTTTTGGGGAGGCTGAATGTTCTGTTTAGAACAGGTGTTTTTAACATTTTCCAAGTATTACCAGCAATTTCCCACCTTGAGAAGCTCCTTCCCTATGATCCTCTCTCACCACCTTTGGCCAGAATGAATCCTGGCTCTAAACACAAAGCTTCAAAATTCTGCTTTCTTCTTCCTATATGCTTAGTTGAGCTGAGATACACAATAACCTTTCATCAATAGGTTTATCATTTTATACCTGAGGCAAATGTGTGGTAAGAATTCTTTATGTATAGATGTGTAGTAAGATAGTTTTATTAATTTTACTTTAAATTCTGTATATTCAGTATATTTATGAAGATCCGTAAGTTTAAGCAAGAATTTCCACACTGACTACATCTTATTGGAACACCTGATAATAAATATACACTGCCTATAAAATACCTTAATCAAAATTTATCCATAGTACATACTTGTCTTTCCAGATCTTGAATTTTTTTGGCATCAACTGCTCTATCTTTTAAACGTAATTTTTGCTGAATAGATGGATTTCCAGATTCAGTTTTCAGTTTCTCAATCTGTCAATAAAGAAAGAACAGGCTAGGAAGCAGATCTACAACACCAGAAAAACACAGGTAGGTAGCAGCATAAGGCTAGTTCACTGGTTAATTAGTAATTCCTCAACACTCAGCTGTGGAGCTCCCACCCCATCCAAGGCACTTCTCAAAAGGGCAATGAGGCTGAAGATATGGAGGGCAAATGAGACACAAGGAGTGAAACACAGTAAGAACCAAGGCCAGAATGTTCCAGGGCAAGTGAATACGTGCAAGGAGGTGGGCACGTTCACAATCAGTGGGAAGTTCAGTGCAGTTGGAGGAGTATGTCTCTGGGAGAATGTGGTGTCAGATGGGGCTGGAGAGGCAATGAGAATTTGGATCACATGGGGACCTAACCTGACAAGTTGTAATAGGAAGCTTGGATTTATTCTTCATTCGTAAGAGCTTAGATATCTAAAATAGACTATATCCAAAAGTGAATCAAACTCCCCAGAGCTATTCAAATTACTATTCTAGGTATAACTTGGAGAAGGCTAGAATTTGGGTAAGACAGAAACCTGTCAATGCTGCCAAATTCAAATTGTTTCCCACTGATCGAGCAAGCAAGAGAGCGAGGAGTGGTAAGATCCCACCCTTTCAAAAGCAGAGCACTTTGGAGACCAGAAAATCCAAGCAGTCCCACCGTCGAGCTCTGGCTCACACAGCTTCCCCGGCAGTGAAATTCAGAGTAGTGATGCCGGGACACAGAGGCTATGCAAAACCGACAGTGGAGGACAATGTGCTTCACCTACAGAAATGCATTTTGAAATAACATACCTCAAGTTTGAGTTTCTCAATTTCTTCATTTGCTTCTTTAAGCCGCACTGCATCTTTATCTAGAAGTTCCTGATTTTCAGCATACCACTGTAATCTTTTTTGTAAACGACTAATTTCTTGTTTGTGTGTTTCTTCTATAATTTTTATTTCATATAATTTTTCACCTATAAGATTAAGATACTCAATAACTTGACTGTTTTTCCAAACTATGGAAACAAACTAAATTATAAGTTTCCAAATTAAAACCAATTGCGGGCTTAATGGCAGCAAAATGAAAAAAAAAAAAGAAAGGTATATCACACTGATGTACACAATACAATGTCTAGTTTATTAAGAAATAAAAATGAGATTGTGCTCATAATTCAAATTTTCAAAACTCATAGCAAAGTTGCCTTTAACAATATTTGATAGTTTTCCCACTGATTTCCATGATAAAAGTAAAGTTGTTTCCATGGGAAATCATCAACTGTTGATTCAAGAGATAATAAAAACCAAAATACCTATTCTATTAAAAATACTCATAAAGATATTATGCATGACCAAAAAACCCAAAAAACAAAACAATTGACAAAATCATGAAGAACCACTCAGCATGATGAACCTGGGGATTATCATGCTTGGTGAAATTAGCCAATCACAAAAAAGAAATTATATGAGATCACTGTTATAAGGGGGCAAAAATAAAACCAGGATATAGACGTTCATGTCAAGGGAACAGACTTTGGAGATTGCCCAGGGTAAGGAAAAGTGGAGTAAGAAAAAGCAGTTGGCCAGCCTGTGGATGGGTGTTAACTCAGGCGGGTCCACAAGGAGGAGAAGGGAAATCAGGAGCAAATGAAAGGTAACTGTTGGTTGCGGCGGAGTGGGGGAGAGGGGATGATGATAAGCATTTTAAGCCACTGAATACAAAGTTGATGATTTGAAAAGTAAACCCCACTTAATTTACAATAAAAAGTTATAACTTAAGTAATGACAAATGTTAATGAATGCTTCACATGTATTATTTTATCAAACAACAAATTAAATCATGGATGCTCTTATTATTCTGTTTTACAAATGAGGAAAGGAAATATTGTTTTCTTATAAATTGTGAAGAATAGATTTTATTGCACATTATCTTACACTGATAAATTCTCGGTAGACTGTAGAGAAAAGACCCTAAGTTTGGAAAACAAGGCTTCCCGTGATCCATCTTTCTCGCCTTGTGTTCAGCCATCCTAATCTCTGACCTACATGTGTACTCCACATGCCCAGGGGACACACCTGGGCAGCCTCTCTCCATTCGGTCATTTTCTAATAAGCTTACCACCTGTCAAGCCCTGGTCAAATGCCACTCCTCCCTTGAAACCTTTATTTAGCACCTCATTTTCGTCCCATGTTTGTAATTTTTTTCTCCTTTACTCAACATATATGCACTGCTGTCTCAATCATCTTTGATTTTCCTAGCAGAAACCAGGTCATCTTTATCTCAGTGCTCTTTATAGAATGTAATAGTGTCATTCATTCACTTAGCAAACACTTGAGGACATACAACGCTTCATACTCAGGGAGAAAAAGACAGACTTTGCCCCCAGGAAGGTCAAAGTCTAACTGGATAGAAGACACGTGTGTAAACGTCTGAACATGAAAGTCATAAATTCATGTTACAAATTTAAATTTATCTTTGGTATTTCCTGATAAAACCAATCAAATGTACATACTTGCTAATGACTGATTTTTAAAAATGTTTCCATGATTATAATTCATTTCAAGGAACAGTATTCCGTTTCTGTTCAAGATTAGAATGGTTTAAGAGTATAAAGGTCAACTATTTAAATTCGATATTTTACCTGTCGCATAAGCAATCTGATCCTTGGCGTGGTCTCTCTCTTTCTTCATCTTTTCCAAGTCTACTTCAAGGGCTTGCTTGTCTTGCTTCAGTCTTTTGATATCTTCCAACAAACTGTTTTTTTCTTTCTTTATAAGCAAAAAGATAGACAAAAGGAAATTACTTACAAATCACAATAAAGTGTGGTACAGTCTCTCTTTCATCAGGTCTATCATAATCTGATCTGCTCTTTTTTTGTAAATTTTTGTTCTAATTTTATCATTGATATGTCCCGGAATCATTAATAGCCCCTAATCATACATAGCCTATGAGAACCAGTTCTAAACATTTTATTCAGCAGAGTATTAAAGACCTTCCGATCTATTTCCCCACCTTTTCCTGCTTATGCTCACCAAATGGGAGGATTCCGTAATTCTGCTGCCTACTAACTAGTGTGCTTTAATTCCCTTCTACCCTTAGTGCCTACAGTCTATTTTCCTTACAGTAGCCAGAAGAATTTAGTCAATTGATACCCCTTTTCTGTTTGACACTTGGACAGCCCCCTCCATCTCTCTCAAAATACAACTCAAAGTCCTACTTCAGTATCTACAGACTCTTACTGACTGCTGACTGCATCTGCTACACATTGTCTCCTCTTCCTTACCATTCTAGCCACAGAGACCTCCTTGCTGTTCTTTGAACAAGCTAATAAGTACCCTGCTAAGGAACCCTGGTGACACAGTGGGTTAAGCAATGGGTTGCTAACCGCAAAGTCAGTAGTTCAACCCCCCAGGCAGGATTCATTTACTTGAAAGCAGGGATTTTGCTCTATTAGTCCTTGTATCAAAATATGTACAAAAATGCTTAGGCACATAAAGAAATATCAATTAAATGAATTCTCGGTATATCTTCATTTCACATTACTCTCCAAATTTTGAAGTGTTGTGTTCCCCTTCCGCTACTGGACGCCATCATAGTCCATCCTTAAAAGCATAGTTCAAATGAGGTAATTTCTGATAGTACTTTCCTTTGGGCTCCCACAGGATTTCAGTCCACCTCTGAGTATTTACTACCTTCTGTTTTGTTAGCTCCTAGGTCTGTTGGCAGGCCTGCTCTCTGTATCAGGTCGAAAGCTCTGAGGGGGCGAGTCTGTGATGTCTGACCACCTGCTCACTGTATGGCACTAAGCACACAGCCAGGACTCAACATTGGATGGCCACAGAGTGCCTCACGGTGGACGCGTTTCTTGAACTCGCGGCAAAACACTTGGTTTTGTTTGTTTCAAAATAAAACACCTAGCCATTCAGGACAACTTCTTACAATTTAAAATCCAGTCTTAAAAAGAAAACAATTTTATTTCTAAAGCAATATAGCTGAATCATAGATGAGACATTCTTGCATTGTTTAATCCGTTGTGTAATCATTTGTAGATCTCTTTTCAGGAAAGCGCTGAGTTTGTTTTTGGCTGTTCAAGTATCTTTCAGCAAATATTGCTTGTTTACTTAGGCCAACAAGAATGCTCCCTAACAATAGTCAATGCGTGGCAGGGTCGAGTTTTAGACCTGCCAGGAACTTTAAACATTTTGAAGGAATCCTGGGCAGAGCCGTTCAACCTTTCACAGCTGACTGAAAGGCTGGCAGTTTGAATTCACCTGCTGCTTGGCAGAAAAAGGTCTGCTTCCTTGAAGATCCCCAGCCTCAGGAACCCTAGGAGGCAGTTCGACTCTGTCCATTACGGTCTGACCTTGACTTCTACTGTTCTCATCTGTATTTCCTTACTTCAGCTCAGAGCCTGGACGGTCATGTGTTCGTTTTTGCTTAGAGGCTTATGTGTTTCTTCTTCTGACCATTGGGAAGGCTGGATTTCTGCGTGGTTTGCTTCTCTTCAGCTCTCAACTCAAAGCACCACTTTCTCAGGGCAGTTCCCCAACTATACTAGCAACCGTGGCCTCCACCCGTCACCGCTGTTTTCTTCAAATTTTCTTCCCATCACTTATTTACCACATCACTTATTTACCACTCTCTCTAAATGTTCCATTTGCTTACTTATTGTCTGTCTTTCCCACAGAATATGCCTTCTTAATTAACAAAACCTATGTCTGCTGATTTACCTACTCTATGGCTGGTGTCTGCCAGCAACATGGGAAGTGCCTGATGAAGGCTGGCTGACTCAGCACAGGGCAGTCAGCCCCTTTCTCCTCTCCACTCTGATACCAAAATGAGAGTTCAAAACTGTAGCTGTTACTACCTTTCCACCCACCATACCTCCCTTGGAGGCGTGGGTTTTTAAACTGGCTCAGGTCTGGGAATTGATTGACTGATCGTGACTGTCTATTCTGCTGTTCACCTGATCTACCATTCTTTTGCCTGTATAGATCACGTAAATGTTTAGTAGGTTTCCCATCTATTTCATTCCTAGGGACACCATGGCTAAGTAGCCAATGCCATAATTCCACACGAGACAGGTTGCTTTGAGTACTACTGAAACCTTGTTGTCTATTATAACCACACCCACCCTGTCTCTGCTGATTCAGTGCTGACACCTGCCCTCTACCACCACGGGAACCAATCAGCCCCATTGTGGGCAAATGTCGGAGTTCGCTTAGGGCAGTGCCCACTGTTAATCCTGGTGCACATAAAATAGCAATTACAGGAGTCTTAAGAGATGCTGGGGCCCACTTCACAAACTTGTTCCTCATGGTTGTGGTAAAGGGTATGTCCTCAGGACACCCCCTTTTTGGGTCTATGGGAATATCCTGGTAGATCATTCCAACATACCAATTTCTCTAAGCTTTTGGATGCCTTCCTCTACAGTGTACCAAGGTAGGTCAGGTACTTTGTTGGTCCAATCTAGGCCATCTGGCAGTCCATGCTTCATTGAACCAACCAAATAAAGAGTTAGAGCCTCTCTTAACCTCTCTCGCAGAGACATTGAAAGAAGAGTCTGTGCTTAGGGGTCCCATATCCAGAAACTCAGACCAGTCTAATACTATATTTCGTGCACCAGTATCCCACACGCTTAGTAACCATTCCCAGGGATATTCCCCAGGCTTCTGCTTGTATGTATTTGAAAACTCGAGCAGATCTTT